CTATAGCTCTCCATGCCATTTCCCAGAAACTGTTGTCAGTAGAGGCCTGCGAGGTGCCCCCCCCCCATGCTCCTGTCCTCATGCCCTTTTGTGGAATTCCCTGACTGAGCACCCTCACACCCTTTTATGGAATTCCCCACTCTGGGGGAGGAGCTAAGCATTGCTGCCTGAGCTGGAGAATATATAAACCTGGAGTTTCAGAACCTTGCCACTCTCTCTCCACTCGTGGGATCCAGAGGAAGACTGCAGCTCACCGCTCTCAACCTGACTACAGATCACCGCTCTCAACCAGACTGAGACCACCACCCTCAACTGGACTGCAATAGCTCTCCCACCAGCAGGTTTTTTCCGCTTCCCCCTTTACTTTGGACTCAGGGGGGGCCCGGGGAACCCTGCTTGTTCATATCCCAGGGTACTGGGTTGTACATTTGGGTTTTTGTGGATTGAATTCGGTTGTTTGTCTGTATAATCATACTTGTTGTGTTGTTTTAATAAATTGTTATTCTGACTTGTGGTCTCTCTTTTGAGTTCATTTTCCCCTACTGGTTAACTTTTAAACCAGCACAGAGTGCCATTTCATATTGCCCAAGGCATGATACAAATCTTAATCTGAAGAGTAAACCCAGGACAGTTTTGTGATACTAAGCACCTTTAGTACTTCTGAGGATGGAAGAAGTGTCTGCATGAGCTCAATGATGGGAGTATTTTCTTTTGTTATTATTTAATTAGAAATAAATTCTAATAATTTTTATAAGTCAATTTTTATCTAAACTGAATGTAATAATCAAAGGCAGTGGAATCACCACCCCCTGGAGGTGTTCAAGAAATAAATGACTAGATGTGGCACTTAGTGCCATGATCTAGTTGACAAGGTGGTGTTTGGTCAAAGGTTGGACTTGATGATCTAACAGTTGTATGATTGTGTGATTATAAACTGAATTAAAAATCACAACTGAACAAATATTACATACCACTTATGAGAAGGCAGAAGAGGTAACCTATGCATTCCACAACAGCAGTTCAAAAGATTCTGTGTTCACTTAGTTAAACTATATGTGCACTGTTAATTTAATATGACAGCCCTCAAATACTATTCAGCAAGTGGACTGGTAAGACTGGAACAGTTTTTCTTTCTCAGGCTCAAAAGTCAGTTAGCAGGACCGATTTGAAGTATATGATCCATTATAAATGTGAGGAAGGAATAGTCTGCTTTCTGCTTCTTACGTGGGAATGAAAAGAGTCAATAAAGTGTGAGTGAAAACTGAGATAAAACATGTGAACTCTGACTTCTTCAGCTATTTCTTATACTCTGTGAGTAATACTTTGCCAAAATACCAGAAACTGTTAATCTGTGGTTTCATTTCAGACATTATCAGAGGCATTAGGAGTTCTTCAGGCAAAAATTTAAGATTTCCAGGCTATTGAGAAAAGGTTAGAAAAGGAAAAAACTATGAGTTTTTAGAAGTGAGTTCACAAACTTCATTTTTTATTAGACATGATTTTAAAGTACATGGAAACTATGAAAAATGACAGCACTATAGCCGAACCCCCCAAAATAAACATGGTAATAATAAAAAGTATCATGTGTAATTGAAATGAAGCTGAGTAGTAACAAAAGAAGGAGAAATATCTATGAACTCTGTCCTATTATGTAAAATAAAAGTGTGAAAACAGTTAGTTCTTAAGAAAATTTTAATTTTTTCTCAGGTGCAGTAATCTCATGTCACTTTAGTAATTTTTTGGAAATACATTGTCCAAAATTTACAACTCCTTCTGCTTATGCTGAATATTTAGGTATGAAACTAGGAATCTAAATAAAGTGGCCAGATATTCAGATGTGTTTTACAGCTGTAATTCCTGCTTAATTGCATGGCATTTTTGGATGGTGAGTGTTTAATGATGGACAGGCACTTATATTTAACTACATAAGTAAAGGGTACCTAACTTATGTGCAAGTGTTTGAGTTATTTCTGTTATGAATAATATCTTATTAAGAAGTCCATTGAAACAGAGAGATTTGACCACACATCCATACTACAAAATCAAGTTAAGTTGATTTGTGGTCTTATATTTCTTCCTATCCCATGGGAGAAGCAGCTGATGGACAAACCACCATTTGCTTAAACAAGTGACATTGACTTACTGTCCTCTAGTTTCTCTCCTAGCAAACTACACTTCACACATCTCCAAGGAGTTTTAATGAGTTTTAATATGAGGTTTAACTCATTAATACTGGAATTGTAATTTGTGATTACAGAAAAAATACTAAAAAAGATGACTTCTTTACTATTCTTGTTTCAATCAATTCCTGAATGGAAGAACTTTAAACATGCAATATATGACTTCAATCCGCAGAGCATTTTGGCTATTAATAGTAAAAAACCGCACTCCTCCCAGGCCCCAAATGTAAATATATCAATACAATACTATGAACAAATATTATTGTTTACATTGTACAAAGTATGCTTGGGGTATTTTTTTGTTTTGTTTTTTTTTTTTAAACCAAACACATATTGCCAAAAAAAGTTCCTTTTTTGACAAAAAAATATCAACTATTATTTGCTGGTAGAAGATCAAGCATAGTTTTTTAAAAGGTTTTTCAACATTTGCCTAAGATTTTTTTTTAAAGTTCTTTTCTTTAATACACAGTTATCACAGGTATTAGGATAGAGTATATAAATATTAAACTATATAAGCAAAAGACTAGTGATAAAAGTATAGTATGTTTGAAAAGCTGATAAAACATTACTGTGTTATGCAATCTAGATAATATCCCAGATATGTTCATGCATTTTTAACACTGTACACTAAGCTTCCCAGGAACTATTTCTGGAGCCAACAGTTTCAGAACTGATAGAAGGTTGCAGTGTTGTACACAGACTGTTGCAGTCATTGCCTTTGATGGATTTATTTCACATAAAATTTTCAACATGTTCTCGTTCTTGCAGTATGTGACCATTTCTGCAGAACCACAGTACTAATGAAAAAGCTTTGAAGAAAACAGTGACAAGATAGAATAGTCCTTGCAGAGCCCAAACCCTACAGCATAATGCCTAAGCCCATAGTTGCAGAGGCAGGATAAGGGTTCAGGAGCCTTCAGTATATGTGAGTGCTGGGTTTTGGTCTCCAGAGAGTTTTGAGAACCTCGTCCTCCCCTGGGTCTCTTACAGCAAAGCCTAATGGGAAGTTTGAAGGAAAACTGAAAATTTTTGTGTGATCAGGAATTATCTGCACTTTGCAGTTGTAGTATAGTAACCATATAGACAAAGTACAACCTGAATGCGTACTGGTGTTCCAAACCAGTAGTAATCCTTGCTATTTTTTCCAGTTCTTTAAAATAAAATAATTTCAGTGCACACGTCCACTATTTGGGTTCATATCAGCTACTGAAACTTAAACTATTGAAATAGCTGTAACAAAAATGCATTTCTCAATAAGAAAAATGTATAATGGTGACAGTTTCTGTTTCTAAATATCAGTGTCATCTGCTCAACTTTGGCAGCAGCTAGATGGTATTTGGATAAGGCTTACGTTACAAGCATCTATTTCCACTGATTGTCAAACTGGATTTTGGAATATGTTCTCTTAAAGTCCCCTAGATTGAAAAAGGTTTTGTCCACAGGGTTAGTGTCTAAGGTATATTTCTAATATGCAGGTTTTGCATTTTGGGACTCAAAATATACACTATCATTTTCAAACAAGAACCAAATCCCACTAACAGGAAATTAAAGACACTGCAATATACTCTCCATATTTGTACTTGCACTCATTTACAATGTGGATACTTAATCTCTGCTTGTAGTTTAGATAAATAAAAGTTAGGATACAAATATTCTGTTTTTCATGTGTGGATTCTTTTATTTACAAATACAAAATGTCATGTGCTGGTATGCCTGTATACCTCTCGCAGTCTGATGTTTTCAGTCCTAAAGCCTCTGAGTTCTATGTCTATCCATACAATTAAATAGTATTTTCAACTTAAAATTCCATGAAATAACAACTGGACATTCTTCATCTTCTAAATGTAACACCTGTATAGTGATAATTATGCATATAAAAATGTTATATATTTATATTGAGTAGACTGAATTATTGATAAGTAAAGAATATGTCTGTATTTACATTTTGGAAGTACATTGAAACCAATATAGCAGAAAAGTGCTAAATGTATTTTTCCATACTACTTGACAGCTGACTGCTGCTGTTCATGCAAATTCTGCCCAACAAATTTGCCCATCACAAACTTGAAAATGTCTGTGTTGTTTTTGAGAATTATATGTGTGATTTGCTGTAAGGCACTTTTCATATGCAAACATCTTTTTGTCATAAGAATGGAGGAATATATTGAAATCCAAATTACTGTATTAGTTCAATATAAACTTAGCTACTACAGATGAGTAGCCATAAAATTATCAGTATTTTAGGAAAATAGCTAATGATTAAGAGCAATTAACTATATTTTTGTGATATTTTCTTGGTGAACTGGTATATGCAAATAGTATAGAAATAGAAGTCAAAAAATGTAACACTACTCATATTGTTTCTTCACTCAGATTTTTTTGCTTTTAAGAAGGTAATAAATGTAAAAATGAATTTTCTGAAGGGATCATTAAATCTCCCACAAGTTTGTGAGTATTTAAATACCAAGTTCATAGAAAAATAATGGTTTCACTAGCTTTACTAAGCTTTTTTGATTTGTGAGTCTTTCTTCAGTTGAAAGGAATTGTAGGCTTTAAGAAAACACTTTAGCAGGTGACTTCTATCCAATATATGCCTTTTTCAGCAGCTTACATAACGCTGGCTTGCAGCCAAGAGTCAGGTGTGTCAGCATAGTTCTCTGCTGAAATTACCATGCTCAAATTAATGGTCCTTGCTGAGAAACCTCAGCTTTTTTAGAAATTCAGGATGATACTTGTTTTCCTTTAACCTGTCCGATAAAAATGAAATTATTTGCTTTTCTGATTTACAACATGTACATCATCTGTATTTTCTGTCTGCAGATTTTCCACATGACGTATGATCTGGCCAGTGCAGTGGTGAGAATCTTTAATCTCATTGGAATGATGCTCCTGCTGTGCCACTGGGATGGTTGTCTACAGTTTTTAGTACCATTACTCCAGGATTTCCCACCAGATTGCTGGGTGTCCCTAAACGGTATGGTTGTAAGTATTGTTCATTTTTCATTGTGCTTTCTAAACATTACTATTCTAAACAATTAGCTTCAGAATTTAGTGTAAAACTACATGCCTAGTAATATGCTGCCCTGCAATTTATTCAAGGTTACTTCTATATTTTATTGGCTCACTTGCTCATGAACTAAAGTTTGTTTTGCAATCCTTATCATCAATACCATGATATTGACTCACGGTCAGTAAATGAGCCAGAAAATACTTTCAGTTTTAAGGTAATTTTAATTTGTTAACCCTCATTCCCTAAAAAAAAAACACCAAAAGAAATATGGAACACTCAGTTCACCAGTGGTTTCAGTTTAGTCTGTAGTTATAGAATGCTCCTGAAAGTATATTATTGCTGTTTGCATCATCTAATGTTATCCTCAGTTTGTTTTGTAAATAATGTCTGGGTCATCTCATGATCCGTTGTTCCCATCTTAAAGGTCAACATGAAATTTTTCTAAGTAAAATAAGATAAATAGATTTAGTTGTATGATACTCTTCTGTGTGGGAACAGAATGTTCAAGGACAGAATGTAACTGCGTTATTTATAAGGAAGAGTAATGATATTCTTCTTAAAGGACAATGGCTGTGAAAAATATAGTTTTTTATAAAGTCAGATAACACAGCAATATAGAGGACATTTTTATACCTACTACACTGAAAAAGTTGTTGAAAAGGGTTTATAGAAAAAGAAGCAGCCCAAACAATTCTCTCATTGGACATCTGAAAACATGTGTCTCTCCAGTTTTTACAATCTTAGGATCCATAAACCAGCACTGTTTACTGTAGATGGGCATCTTGCTCAGTCCCACGTATTTCTATCATAGAACCATAACAGTATTTGTTCCTTTAGGAATGTGATACTGCACATTAATGTGGAAGCTCCTTGACTAAGACTGTCAGTCATAGAGACAAGTAGTTGCAGTCATCAAGCAACATCTTTAATGATAAGCAACATTTTGGTGACACCTCATTGTGCTGCTTTTCTGAAAAAAAAAATTCTGACATATCTTCAGATATGGGATTGCTACAATAAAAGTAGGTCAGCACGATGCTGACTGGCACATCTTTCCATTCTCCTGTATTCTGGGTTCTGCTTTCTAACATCTTCCATTCACATTTACAAAGGGTACATATTCTACCAACTTTTTAAAGATCTGGATGAAAATCATTCTAGCAAGTAAAAGGAAGGCTTGGATTACACTGAATTGAAGTATTTAACTTTTAGAGAACACTGAACTATTCTCTTTGCTTCTTTTTTCAATAAAAAAGGCTGTAAACTCTTATGTGTGTGCTCAGACCCTTCTTTCAGCTTACCCACACTCAGGGTTTTTTTATGGAAACAATACTCTCTTCTTACTGGCCACATACTCTTGGAAAGGTCCTTTCTGAAAGTTGCACCTTTAAAAATTTTTTGTCAGGCTATTGAATTTCTTCTGTTGAATGAACATAGGGGAGAGGTCTGAATATAATGTTCACAGTGTAGGCAGTCTTTAGGCCACTGGCAAGAGAAAGAGTTGTGGACTGCCAGCCTGGAATCAGAAGCATATTTAAGACACCTCTTGAGGAAAACATCTAGATGTTTGTTCTGACCATGTTGTGGTGTTATGAGACATTTCATGGTTGCTTTCCATGCTCTGAAAAATAATTCTTTAGCACCGAAAACAGATGGAGAAGCAGTCGTGGAATCTCAGCCCTCTAAAATAATAGAGGAAATAGAACGATGAGAATGATGATGATCATGGTTATCTGCTTTACTAGTCTATTCAGAATCTAACTGACTGCTTACTTTAGAGATTGGAAGGGATTCATGCTCCTGATACTGCAAGAGCTTAGGCAAGAGGGGTGCTTTACTGCCCTCAGTAGTCTGTAACGATCTAATCTAGTCTGAATTGTAAAACTTTTGTTAATGAAGTGACTGCATGTGATACTGGGGTTTGGACTCAAAGTAAAATTTTAGACTTATTCATTGTGATTGTTGGCTTGAAGACTTACTCAAGCCAATGTGTGCTCAGCCAGAAAAAGTTAGTTTTTCTAAAATGTAAACCAGTTGTGAGCCAGAGCATTTGCAGATAATGTGATGATAGAGAAAGTGAGGATGCCATGAGGATGCTGTGCTGTTTCCTCAGTTGACACAGCCTAGCCTTTTCTTCCAGTCCGCAGTTCCCTTCTGTCTTGCACATTAGTTGCTTCAGGCTGCGGAGTGCAAGAACTTCTAAAAGCCTTCTCCTGAAAACTGTTTCTTCTCTTTGAACTGACACGTGAAAGTATTCAAATTCCATAGGCATGCTCGTGGGTTTACTTTATAAATACTTGTAAAAAAAATACATAAGTTAAATTTAATGTCACAAAGGTGTAGGAAAATGAACCGAAGCTGCAGTTCTCTTACTTCCTCTCTGAACAATGCCACTGAATGCAATTAAAGTGAAACAAATTGGTTGGATTTTTATTTTTGAAAGGATATTAGGAAAATCATAGTGCAACATGAAGGAGACTATAAAATGGAAAACTCTCTCTGTAAAAGGAAATAGGATCACCACTGGTTAATACTGTACCAACCTACAGCCTAAGTAATTTAACAAAATATGTTCAGGTCCCATTGGTATACTCTCTTCAGTAATAATAATTATGACCCCATATTGTATCTGTACTCTCAACTTAACCTTCTTGGACAGTTCCTAGCACTGGCCTTCATGTTGCTGTGAAATGACTGCTAGAGCTGACATCTTCCTTTGATTGATGTGATCCCACCTGCTCACTTGCTCACTTCTGTATCTTTATTGCCATTTGATTGTACTGACTTTATTAGTACTGAGTACTGTGGACAGGCAGAATCTTGTGCTCTTCCAGAATATCAATGCACTTGTCTTTAAAAATAGGGATACTGGTAAATATAATATAAAAGTAAGTAGCAGCTGTTTTTCCACCTCACTTTAAGCCATGTTTGAGCCAATCCACTACAGACAAAATAGCAGTCAATTACCTCTATGAGGGAATATGGCTCTTTGATGCCATTCCTAGTTTTTTTTAACACTAAGATTTCATTCCAAAAAAGGTCTTTTCTGAAGAAGTTTCTCAGACTTTCCTAAAGATGCTCCCTAATTTCTCCTTGGCTCAGAAAACCTATTATCTACTGCTCCTTGTGTGATTTATCGTCAGCTTTCTGATCTGCATTGCTTTAGACTAGAGTACTTCCATAATGACTCATAGACCAAACATCTTTATCATGCCTCAGAGTTTGAGCCAGTAGTTCCTTAGAAAATTAGGAGTAAAACTTGCAATTGAAACCACGGAGGCACAAAAACAGAAAAGCACAGTAGTCTTCTTCTATAATCACTCTGTGCAAACCAAGATTCTGCATTTTGCAATCAATTTCAGCTGCAGTAATTGAAAGAAAAGTACATGAGTCCGAATTGATGAACTGTTACAGTCAGGTCTTATATGGGACAGGGATTCTAGGCAATTAGAAATGAGAGATGACATTTTTGCCATTGATGCCATCTGGCCATCTAAGCATGACAGCCTGCAATAAAGCATCCCTTGCAGTAGATCGTTAATAACAGTAACTGAAGATTCCCAACCTATATTTTCCTGACTCTATTTGCAATAATTTGTTGTATGGTTAGGAAAACGGATGGTCCTTTAAGCAAGGTATTTTCCTGGTCTTTACAGATATTTCATTTATAATGTTCCCTTTGTGAGATACAAATCTAGAAAAGAGGTATGGAATTTAAGTTGAATGGTGAGTTTTTTAAAGCCAAAAGGGATTTAAAAGCTTTTAGAAAGGCTTTGTTTTGCTGGCATTTCTCCTGGCTGTCAGTCAATGTTTGCTCAGCAAGAACACTTCAGGTACTCTGGTTTTTTTGTTTTATCTTTCCCTTCCTTGCAGTTGGATTGTTTGCATGTCTCAGGTTGTTTTAGGTTTGGATTTGGTGAAGGGGATTTTGCATTGTATTAACGCCCATTTGTGTCACTTAATTGCCTCAGGGGCAAAGGAAATCAGATGTTAAAGTTCAGATCTTCATCTCTGATGGCATCAGCATTGCTAGAAAAAGAATTCAGAAATTTTTGCTGTAGAATCTGAAAGTCTCTCTCATTATAAAATGAATTACTTAAATGAATATTTGATAGGGAAATTCAGAAATGCAGGAGATGGTGAGGATTTATAATGCTCTGAGCTGTACTAATATATATGTAATATGCAAAAAAGATATTTAGTAATAACACCCAAAACTTGAATTTTAATTCTCAGCATTTCTTACTAATGGACACCATTTTCAATTACACAATCAATTTTCTTTTTTCCCCAGTAAGATTTTTGATTTACTTAATGGAGTGCAAGGAATGCATTATAGTCATTTGATGTGTTATTCTGCATTGGGTTTTCTCCTTTTTGATAATGCACCTTCTTCCCTATAGCTGGCCATCAGGGAAACTAGTTTTCTCATGAGATTTTTCCTCATTTGATCCTGATGTGATAGTCATAATTTAGAGTTTCCAAAATGTTTTTGAGTACCTTTTTATTATATGGCAAAATATTGTAGAGCCACATTTAAAACATTAGGTTCTTCTGATTTCATTTGCAATGCTGAGCAATAAACGCTTATGTAAATCAAATCCAAGAATCTTAAATTGGTTGCTTAAACAGTATGGAACATATGGGAATCATCTGATTACTAGAGGCACTAAGGATCTGGTGAGGTATACTACTACTCTAATATATTTTATAATCATATATTTGTATTTATGTGTGCGTATTTTATTAGAGCAGTGCTTCTTGGAACAGATGAAAGAGTGAAATTACCAATCAGAGATGGATTGTGATCAAAATTAGTGGAATTGCGCAAGTCAGATGCTTTATTTACAACACAATTTGGAAATATTGTAATACCAATAACAACAATATATAACATTCTTAGGACTAAGATATCCTTATTTTTGAAATTTACAATGAATAATTATATCCATTCTAGTACATGCAGCTGTTC